AGGGTTGCTTTTTATAATTCAGAAATATAATAGATATATTCATTTAATCTGACTGCTCGTAAGCATGTGTATAGTAGCAAAACATGCATATAACACATAAAAAAAAAAGAGAGAGAGAAAGAGAGAGAGATAGAGAGAGGGAGAGAGAGAGAGATATACTGCTAAAAAAAGTAAAAAAAAGCGCCAAGTGCATGCGCACAAGCGCCTTTTGCTATAAAAAAAAACTCTTATACAAAATAATGTTATTTCAATTTATTGTGAAAAATTCTTATACAAAATAGTGTAGTTATTTTAATTATTTTAATACAAAAACACTGTCATATTCAAACTAAAAAACTGTTTTACAGAATAGTTGTTTTAATTTTTTACAAAAATAGTGTATTTTAATTCTCTACTCATCATATTTTTTAAAAGTTATTAATATGTTGCCATGTATATTACGCTGCGTTTTAAATTCTTTTAATATAATAAAATCGATTTATACTTTCAGTGATTTATCAGAAAATAAATCCACTCAAGGTACATACTGTATTTATCTGATAACAAAATATAATGGTTTTCCATGGATTACTTGATTACTTGATTAATTTTGCAAAGCATAATAAAAAATATAAAGTGAACCTTGGCACGCAATGTTTGCATGTTTGATCACAATATAACTTTCTAGGTGCGATAAAATCAACATGATTCTTGTCAAACAACAGTATAAAGCAATTTATTGTACAAGAAACATTGTCGGTGTATTAAGCGAAACATTCTGCAACAGTGATCACTGAAAAAATATTAAGAAGTAAGCGTGTCTACGTCATGATGTTAAGTATTTCCCGGGCAAAAAGACATGTAGTGAATAGAATCATAGTAGATCAAGTAGAAGTCGTGAAGAAGATAGATGATAGATCATTTGATCGCTCTAACATCGAATCGTATGGCGATCAATCGACAGAAAGTACAAAACAAATTGCCCGTCATTTTCTGCTAGAATATCTGTATGACAGTTCTCTGCACGGCATGAAATACTTTGGCAACTTACGTGGAATAAAATCCACTACCCTCGGGAAGGTCTTCTGGACTTTAATCATGATCTGCAGTTTTGCGTGTGGGTATAACAAATATACGCTTTACTTATAATGATCTAATTATTATTTATTCTATAAAATATCCTATACTTCAGTTAGAAATGTGCAACAATACATTTAATATATATTAAGATTCATCAGATATAAGTGATTTCTTTCTCTTAGTTTTAAGTTGGATGTTTTGGAAAACCTGGATACGTTACAGTACTAATCCAACTCGCACTGTTATTCAATCGTTTTACACCCCAATAGCTGTGGTCCCCTTTCCAGCTATTACTGTTTGTCCATTAGTATATCCGCTACGTGCAAGACGTGAAGAAATATTGCAAAGTTTGCAGTTGCCACCCAACATGGATAACAAAACGGCGATGTTCCTACTCAAGTATGTACATTTTTCATTAACAATGCACACGTAGCTTGTACAAAAGCAAATGATACCAATTCTTGAAAAAAGAAAAACTGGTAATATCTAAACTTACAATTAATGACAAACTTTCATATTTTCTCAGACATGGGCCCTCATTTGCGAACGAACATGTTACCAGTGGTAGGAAATACTTGAAAGACTTGCAAGTACTGTTAAAAATAAACCATATAACATTATTAAATTTCTTAAAACTTTTGCGACCTTGCGAAGACTTATTTGAGTACTGTTCGTGGGATGACGATGCAAAGAATTGTAGCGAATTGTTTAAATTATCTTACACTCATTCAGGTATATGTTGTTCCTTTAATTATCTTCTCGAAGATGATATACAAACCGGCAGGTAATTATGTTCATTTAATTTTACTCAAATTGATATAATTGTGTCACACATGTAACTTTGTTTCAATCGAACTAGAGCCACGAAGGAATCTGATCTTCTCAGATCTGTGTTGTTTGGACCAAAAGTCGGTCTTATTGCTGTCGTAAAACGAAATTTGCTAGTTAATAGCGATGGCATGGGAGACAAACCTATCGAATTTGCAACAAATTCCATCGGTCTTTTGGTATAAAAAATTAACGCTTTTTTTTTTTAACATTTTTAAGCATTATGCAAAATAGTTATATTTTTATACGTTACAATGCATAATTTATAGTCACGAAAACCATTCGTAGATAGATATTAGCTTTTTATATGTTTTCAATTGCATATATTCAAAATTATATTAATTATACAGGGTGTCCGGTAATTTTTGACACATCCGAAATGTGAAAGTAGATCGGCTCAAACTGAGTCCTGAACCATTTTTTTTTATAACGCTTAATAAAGAAGTTATTATTGAGTAAAGTCTGGCCAATCAGCGCCAACATTTAGACGGGCGAACGTCGGTGATCCGTGCGCCGTGTGGTATGCGACGCCGCACTACCAGGCGCGCGGCTCACGGACGTGCGCCCGGCTAAAGGTCGGCGCTGATTGGCCAGACTTTACTCAATAATAACTCCTTTATTAAGCGTAATAAAAAAAAAATGATACAGGACTTTTCGACTCAGTTTGACCCAATCTACCTTCACACTTCGGGGGTGTCAAAAATTACCGGACACCCTGTATGTCGATGTATATAAATATATATGTATATATTTGTCTATAAAATAGGTATTTACTCATCACCCTCTGGAATTTGTCGGACCCATAGCTACTAGACAAGTTTTACAAGCAAATCAAGAATTGCGGGTAATTAAATATTTTTACAAATATGTCTGAATTTCTTTACGCGAGATTATAAAGAAAAATGATTAAATATTGTTCCAATATGTTTCATAATATCTAACTACTTTGTGATTTTATTTACATAGATCGCCGTAATTCCAATTAGCAAGCAAAAGCTCACCGGATATTACTATCGAAATAAACGCAGTGAATTGGTTCCGCGTTGCGCAGACGAAAAAACTAAGTTGAAATATTTTCCTACATATCGATATTCAAACTGTTTTACTAGCTGTTCTATCGAGGCTGTTCTACAAGCCTGTGATTGCTTGCCATATTATTACGCACCCATAGCGAATAAATATTCTTTAAGAGTAAAATTTTAATTTTTTTTTCAAGTATCAGTTTTTTCCAGTATATATATACTTCATATATTAATATATCTGTATATTAATGCCTCTGTAGATCTGCGAGTGGCAAGATTTCGAATGCCTTAACGCGAACTATATACGGATCATTCATAATACCATCAAAAAAAATTTTACGTGTGAATGTCGAAATCCATGCTTGAATGTGTATTACAAAACACGGACTTCCTCACTTTTACTAAATGGTGTTCATGATTTCAATATTCTGCCGATATAGTAAGTTGTGATTAAATAATGTAGAAACGTGTTATTTAAAATATTCTTTTTCTCCTCTCTCTCTTTTTCTCTAGACATATATATGTATGTGTTCTCTAGACATATATATGTATTATTTATTCTAGCTCGAATCTTACAAAGACGCAAACTGTTCTAAGAGTACATTTTAGTACTGACATATTTATGCAAATGAATACAATACCGATTGCCGATGAATTATATTTATTAGGTAAACAATTGTTTCTATTGGCATATAATAAATTGTTTTAAAGTCTTAATTAAAATTTTTTTTTCAGCATCCGTGGGTGGCATATTTAGTCTTTGCTTGGGAGCCAGTTTTATAAGCGCCGTGGAAATTTTTTATTTTATTGAATTATTTTTTCGTTCTTACTATAAGGAAAAAAAATCGAAATAATCATCACCGACCAGAAATTTTATTAATATAATGTATCTAAGGTTATATGTAAAATAGAGAATTATGTATGTATGTATGTATGTAACTATATATGTTGCGCAATTCGTTAATTATATATTATATATTTAATCATATAATCGGAAAAATAATTGCGTGAAAAATGATTGCAACCGCTACGCCGATGTTTTTTAGGACACCGCACCGGTCGCACAAATGCCGCATCGTCAGCATCACAAATCTGGAACGATTAGATCTATTTCGAGCGGTTACTGGAGCGCTGCCGTAACATTTAAGTCCACGCCCGTGAAAAGATCTACTACTACTACGAGTCTCCTATGTAGTCCACTACTAAGAGTCTATCCGATAATCTTTAAAACCAAGTCGTGTAGAAAAATATGATCTATAAACTATACTATTATAATTTTTGACTCTCTTTTAGGTTTATTTTTTCTCGGTAGTATCATGTGATATGTGTGCATCAATTTTCATTAAATATACTTCGTTTAATATATATAGTTCGTCATCGACACCTATACGCAGCTGTTTATTAATGTTGGCATTAATATATGCTCGAAATAGCAACATGCAAATATAAAATGTTGCGATATGATCACGGAAGATCACAGAGTTGATTTATCGAAATGAAAGAAATGGCAAAAAAAATACAAAAACACCCGATACGTTAAACGCCGATAAACTTGATATTTAATTTCGCGAATATATGAGACATAAAAATTGTTGAATAAGACGATGTGTGAAAAAGAGAAGATACTTTGTGAATGCGAAGGTGGATATTTATATCGTGAAGAATATTTCAAAAGTTTCGAATAAAACAAACAAGTAATTCGATACTCAAGTCATACGATCTCAGAAATCTCTGCCTTATGCAACATTTGAAAGCTTTTCATTAATGCAGCGCACGCTAATTGCTACCCAGCATTGAAATGTGTACTAATCACGTAATATATTTTCGTGAATGCTGTCGAAAATACTGATTTAGTTTTATGTGAACGTATGGTCGAACTTTGAGAGCTGGAAGCGTCGACTATTTTTGGAGTAAACGCCCACGTATCTTTCGCATACCTTCCGCGTTTCTATAACATTCTGAATTTGTTGCATTTTGCAACAAAAATCATATTTCGTAATTATGTTTTGTTATATCACAGCTAATTTGTATATAATGGCAAATTATTTTTGAAGAGAAAATACGTCATAAAATAAATTTCAGCCGGCACTTCAAACGAAGAGATTTATTTTATGGTATCATATATTGTGATTATATATTATATTGTTTTTAAATTACTATAAAAAACTGCTCTACAAAATAATGTCATTTTACCTCTATACAAAATAGTGTTATTTTAATTGTACAAAATAATAATTTTAATTTTCTTGAAAAATATATTACTATAAAAAACTGCTCTATAAAATAATGTCATTTTAACTCTATACAAAATAGTATTATTTTAATTGTACAAAATTTTAACCAAAAAAATACTGTTGTACAAAATAGTTGTTTAAACTTCCTAGAAAAATAACGATATAAAAAAATTGCGCCAAATGAATAAAAATGTATGCTATAAAATTGGTTTCTTTTATTATTTTTTAAATAAATACATTTTAATTTAAAAAAAACTGTTATATAAACTAGTTGTTTTAAAATTTCCTACAAAAATGATGATATCAAAAAATATTACAAATGAATAAAAAAATTTATGTTATAAAATTAATTAATTTTATTATTTCTAATATTAAGAAAAATTATATGAAATGCAAAAATTAGAAATTAATACAAAATAAAAAAACAAAAAAAATTTTTAAATCTTGCCGCTGTTAAACAATATGCTAATGATATTAACGTACGTATATTTATATTGCACTTATAGATGTAATAATTTTTAAATTAAATTAATTATTTGTTACTTTAAGATACATTGCAGTTATTAATTTTGAAACTTAGCAACGCCAAGACTTTTAACTAAAATTTTTTTTTTAATTTAACTAAAATTTTTTTAATTAAAATATTTTTCTATAGTTTTAACCGTGTTCTATCGTTTTTTAAGAAGTTTTTATTGTTGACAACTTAATTAAATAATTTTTTCACGTTTATGTGGTCGCCGATGATATTATCAGGTGTCAGATTTTCGCAAAATGTCATAAAATGTCGAAAAATCGCAATATTGCTTTTTTAGCATATAAAATGTTAAGAATGTTTTTTTCTATCTTATGGATTTTTACTAAGAATTTTAATTAAAAGGCCGAAAATGCGAAAATAATACTTTTCTCGGGAGATTTAAATATATATCTATATGACATACAAAAAATTGTAATTTCCGAAACGCAGAAGTGTATTCTATTATAATTATTATATATTTTATGCCTCGTTATTTTCATTTCTGTATTTTTTATTTATATCTTTTGTTCGCGCGGCAGTCTAACATAAGACATACCATACAATGTGATGTTCTATGTCGGTTAAGCATTCCGATTTTCTCCTAGTATTAACCTTCTATCGGTAAGACTTAAAACTTCTATTTTATTCAGCATTATTCTATGACTGCTATAAACAATTTTTTAACGATCCATGGTTATCAATCATATTCTCGGCCGCATGTTTTTAACACAATTATGTGGGGGACAATGCTAATTGTTTTTCCACTGGAAAGCCGTTGGAGGGATTCAATATATCTAACAATCGATCCACTATGATATTTTACTTTGTTAACTGCGTTATCTTAAGTTTTATTTACTGACCGCTGCTTTTTATACGTAAGTGATAGTTTCTACATTGAAGAGAATCCAGATTAGGACAGAAACGTCTACGAATTTCTTTTATTATTTACGTTTTTATTAATTTTCGGTAAACCTTCGGAAAACCCACCTATATAAAATAATGGGTAAGAATACTCAATTATTATGTATTTTTGCTTCCTGAACACGAATATGAAACTTAAAAATGGCGGTCGGACTCGCAAATCGAAGAAAAACGCAAAAATCCAACCAAACGCGAAAATCCAACCCATGTCCGAGGAATGCATTTTTATCAGTAATAATTCACCCCTGGGATATAAGTTTGGGTTAGGTTATATCTTCCGGAAGTGGACCCCCCCCCCCTTTTGGGGAGTTCCACTTCCGGAAGATATAACCTAATCCAAACCTATATCCCAGGGGTGAATTATTACTGATAAAAAGACATCCCTCGAACATGGGTTGGATTTTTGCGTTTTTCTTCGATTTGCGAATCCGACCGCCATTTTTAAGTTTCATATCCGTGTTCAGGAGGCAAAAATACATAAGAATTGGGTATTCTTACCCATTATTTCATATAGGTGGGTTTTCCGAAGGTTTACCTTCTTTTTTATAACTCGTGTGATGTTACTCAGGACAATAATCAAAAAGCTGATGTTAGATGCGATGTTAAAAATGAATATTGCACTACGAATGCGTAGAAGATACGTTGCAAATTTTACTTAATTGAATCATGTGATTTTAAAACAATACATATCCACTCAACTAAACTTCTCAGTAGAAAAAAAAACAATATTTAAAGAAAAGTACTAATCGTATATTTTGCAGAAAATTTATAATATTTGTTTTGACTTTTTTAAACATATTTTAAAATGTAAAATCATAATTATGTATAAATCAAGAACACATTTTATTAAAAAAGATCATGAACATGTGTTGTTTAAAAAATACATAGAATGTGTGTTGTAGCCGCGCCTTCGATTTACACGTCCACATTAACAGAATTTATTTGTTTCGCCGATCAGAGAGACAGAACACAAATACGGAATGAAAACAAGGCTTCGATCATAACGTCTCGCTTTAGAACGTTTGAGAAGCAAAATTAATAATATAATTTATAAAACTCTTACTTTCTCGAACATGTGTTATTTGTAAACAATATAGATTGTTCATGTTTAGTTTATTTATTAAATAAAATCATATTTATGCACAGAAAACAATATTTTATCATTAAAACATTGAAATATGTGGCCTTTATAAGCTATAGTTCTTCGATTAAGTCATCTGCGTTTATTGTAGGCCATTGAAAACATTTTTCGTAAAAAATTTAACTTTTTTATCTTTAGAGATGTATGGGTCTAATTTTTTAATATCATCTATTTTTCTAACATTTATTGGCTATTATAGTTTTTTAGACGAAAAGTGTTTTGAGCCAATTCGTCTATGTACTCTCTTGCTGAAACACATCCAGGGTTTTTTTCATAAAATTCAAACTAATAAACTGTTACGTTCTGGCGACTCCACGATTCCTTCCTTCCGCGAAGTTGCGGCAATGATAATCGATCGGTGATAAAAATGAGTCGTTCGGTAAATAGAGCATCTTGCGCCATACATTTCTTTAAACATTTAGTCACTTATCAATATCTATATCTATGAGTAACCGTGAGAAAGATGCGAGAGACCGGTGACGAAACCGCGCCGGTCGCCTAAAAATATAATAAAAAAAAATCAGTAGATACCCTCGCAACAGAATTTTCCAGCGAAATAATAAACTGATACCGAAAAGATAATAAAATTCCTTCTAACGAAATATCTGACGAATACAACTAAATCAATAATGACGAAACTTCTGAAGTTTTGGAAGATTCCCACTCTTAGAAATTAGAATACACCCCGAAAAGAGAGATATAAAAAGAGAACTCGAAGGGACATACACGGACTTACACACTTATTCTCCGGTCTTTAGCTTCACGCAGTCTTACTCTGTGTTTTTGCATCTCCAGAGCAACCACGAATCGAACATCGGGCAGCCGACATGAGACACAGAGCAAAACACCGTACAAATTCGCCACCCCTCCACCTCTGAATTACTATTTAAAAAAAAGTAAGTTTAATTGAAGTTTTAAATCGTCAACCCGTTCCGGCAATAAGTCTTAAAAAATTTTGAATCCTTAATCTAACACATATGCAAGCGACCAATTTTATATTTCTGACCGTTCTTAACGTATACACTTATTTACTTATACATATTGATTTTGATTTTATGTT